CACCCCCCCCACCGTCGTATTGAAGCCTTCGAAAATGCTCTATCATTTGTTGGACACAAATGTTACCTACCAATTTTTCAGAAGAAAAGGAAAATTTGGAGGAGAGCGTTGCTGAACTCTCTTCTCAACCTAAGAGTATGACGTATCTCGCATTTCTTTGACAACAGGTCAACACACACTACGCCGCGCATATCGCATTCGCAATATCAAGTCTTGTCGTCCACTTTGTCCTCTCGTCACTCTTCTTGGTCATCTGACGCATCGACAATCCGCACACCATCAGGGATTATTCGCACGATCCAGCAAGCAACGTACTTGTTGGGGTCAGGGAATAGGCCCTGCACATGAGCCCGCAGCAGGCACGGATTCAGAGCATTCGCCGCGCACGCATTCCCTTCTGAGGTGTTGTGGGCATCCAGTGGAATCCCATATTTTGTCGTGTCCCGTGGTCGAAAAACCGTTCGCACACTCAGACCTTATTGTTAGCACGAGACACGACGGGATAGATCCCAGGTCAAATCAAATGTACGTCAGTCTTGTTTCCATATATGATATTGTTGATAGGAGCAATAGTTACTACGCGAAACACATCATTAAGTCAGATTCAAAGAAGTCGTAGCCTAAGGGGTAAAGAACAGGTCTGTAGAACAGCTAGTAGGGCTTAGAAGAAATCTATTGATGGCATGAATCAAAGAGTTCCTTCTCGAAATTCATTCACATTTTCATGGAATCCTTTCATCGGATCATGCTAGAGCCTCGAGTTCCACCCTTTCAAGCACCGTTACTCTTTTACTCATTTTTTCATTGTAATTTGTGAAGTAATTTTTGGGATCTGCAACATTACCGGTGGTTATGGAGTGGAACCATCAGCCGTACTGCACTAGTGCAACCCCAAGAAGGGTCAAAAAAATGTTCTCCAGAACTTTTGTAATCAGTACCCTGATCACGAATGTGACATTCGTTTTTAACGCTGACGCAACTTGGCGCCAGTCGGGGCCAGTTTGCCGTCGCCACCTCTCAACCACTGTGCCTAGAGGAACAGTGTTGATGTGCATAATGTTATATTCCATATTAAATTTTTGGCGCTATTGCACTATTACAATCCCCGACACACGCAACAGTGCAATCCCAAAAGAGTTGAAAAAAGTCTTTTCCCTCGAAAGTTTGTTCATAGGAGCAATTTAATGCTCTAATCACGGGCATTCATTTTGTCAGTATATTAGCGCCGATTTGGTTCTAAATTGCTTCCGACTGGCATCACATGGCCCAGTAGTAGCCTTACTACACTCTTGGGAGGCCCTCCTACCTCTCGACTTAGTATATTTTTCCTTCTTCGACTTTCGACCTTATGATAGAATCCTCCTGTCAACACGAAAACTGCTTTTTTCCTTGAATGATGAATGTCCTGTCGTTCCAGCTCTAGAAATTCCATCCAGTAAACGTCACAATTGCCTTTCAAGGTGGTTATGAAACTCATAATATTTCATGCCAATAACACGTGTTTTTCTTCTTATTTGAAGGCTACATCACTTCTTCATTTACCTGCGCACTAAAAATCGACAAAAGACTAGAAGATAGACGTTCGTTTGTCTGCAATTTTTACGCAGGGCTCGGAAACCAATTGTCCAAATTTGAACCTACTCAACGCTTTCCTGGTAGTTTTTTTTTGATAAGGCTAAGGCTTTATTGAATAAATCAAAAAAGAAAAAGCTAGAAATGCGATGACAGAGATGAGGGACACATACTTACCGCGCTGTCCCGCGTGGCCTGCAAAGTGCAGGGCTTATGTGTCCCTGCGCCTGGGTACGCAACAACGTGTTATTTTCCTCAAGCTGGTTTCGCTTCGGTGAAGAGCGAGGTCTCGAAATTGAAGTTGTAGATTCATATATGGACACTAACTGAGGGAGATACTGAAATATCAGCAAAGCAAATCCCTAGCCCCGCTTGGCATAAAAAAGTAGATAATAACTGGAATTAATTTTTTCAATTTGAGAACCAAAACCCAAAATCATAACTAAAATAGGACCGGTTTAATTTTATTGATAAATTTTTCTAACGTTTTGACTCAGCGAACGCATTTTCGAGAGTGGAATTGGAAGTGTGTCACATGGTACCAGTTCTCTTGATTGACGACGCTAGGTTAGGTTTGGTGTGCTTGTTCTCGAACTCTTGGTTCACTCTGCTCGCAGCGGTGAAGATCAGGACTTGGATTCCGATTCAAGAAAAATCATTTTTCGAACATGAATAATAATACGAGTTGTAACCGAAAACCCGAAGGATATCCCTTTTTAAGGTTCAGGTAGCCCGGAATTTGTCGCGAAATTTATTCGGTTCGTATAACAGATCACGGTATGCTGACTTCTTTTGATATCGTCATAAACGCTACTCCAAGCAGAGTAAGTCCGTAGGCGATCGATAATATGATGAGGTTTTGTCGGCCCTGGAAAGTCGCGAACTTAATGTTGTATCTATCGTTTCATTACTGTATGACATACCGTAATTTCATGGAAGTACAGTACGCTCCACATAGACACCACCAAACCTGGTGCCATTGCACAAATCGGATACGCAATGGATGCATTCAGTTGGTCGATGGCGATCACGAATGACGTCATCGCCAAAGCGAATAACGCCCCTGCCAGCATGGACGGTAACGCTGCCTCGGCACTTATCCACGGGCTATTTCGCCTGAATTTTGACTTCATACTGTAGCACTGCTCGCTTATCCGTAGCGCAGTACTCACTTGACAAATGAGTACAAGACGAAGATGAAAACAGAAGTGCACATAATACCGCTGAAGAACGAGAACAAATATGGTGGGCTGTCCGTGGTTGCGTCCACGAACTCTTCTTGGTGTGTCTGAAGGTACACCATGTAGGGTACGACGGCTGATAGCGGTGTCGGAAATATGTATACCTTTATGTAGTTCACAGGAAGCCACATCGTGCCGTAGAATAATCCACAGAACATAGCAGCTAGAAGGCTTCTGAAAGTTGATATATGCAGATAAGGAATCTTATGGCGTTTTCGATCATCAATTTCTTTGTGATACGCCCACTCTCCAATTCGTTCCAGGATCGTAAAATTATTCGAGTATGATCTGGCCCTTACAACTATTAGGTTGTCTCATAAATAGTGTCGCTTTTTTTCAACCAAAAAATTTTCATCTAAATCCCCATGCTTTTACATCGTTCATATACCATTCGAAAGAGAATTGTCTGCTCTACAAAATGCTATGTTCCACTTCCACCTCTGTTCCAGGGTTTTCAAATTTTAGGCCTGCGAAATGGGAGGTCCAGCCGACAAAAATTGACCAAACCGACAACTAGCTCTAACTTTATTTCCCTTCGGAGAAATCAATCAATGATGTACCCTCTACTTACTCATGACCTCTTCTAAACATTCCACCCTTAGGTTGCCGAAAAAGCTTTGCCCTGTTTCTTTTCGAATTGGCTGACCGATAAGCCATAGCAATTTTCAAATTAAAATTTTTCCTCGTAAACGCCATTGTTTCATATCGAAGTTGTTCTTTTTGTGAGCACTTCTTTTGCTCTATTAGCTCGTTTGTTTTGTTTTTTGTTTGTGGAAAATTAGTTCGAATTTTCAGGTGTTTAGGAATAAGGTGTTTTGCCACCGGAAATGACCACATTTCTTGAAAAAAATTATCCCAGAGAAGATGAGAAAATCAACACACGTACATTCGTAACTTAGTCATATCTTCTTCTTAAACGTCTACTGGAGTTTTTCAATGTCTCAGCTGTAAAAAAATATCGAGCTAGATCTCAGGAATGGATGCTCGACCGTCGAGTTCTGGTTGAAAAACCAGGTCTGGAAATGGAACGACGCTACTTGTTGGGAAACCTAATAGTGTAATTGTTCAAAAGTGTGTAAGTAGAGGGAACATCATTAATTGATTTCTCCTCAGGGAAGATAAATTTAGTGATAGTTGTCGATTTAGTCAATTTTTGTCGGCCGTGAACCTCCCATTTCGCAGAGCCTAAAAATTGAAGAAACCCTGAAACAAAGGTGGTAGCGGAACATTAAATTTTGGGAGGTCAGGTGTCTATTCGAATGGTATAGACACTGTGGAAAAGCATGGGGCTATTAATAAAAAGTTGCTTACGAGAGAAAGAGTCCACCAGTGCCGTTACCGGCCGATTTGGCAATGCAGCGTGATATAACCTATGCATTCGTCTTGATGACGAATAAGATTGGAACGTCTTTTCTTATCTGTCTAAATCGGTGCTCTGAACCGAGGTTACGGAATTTGTCAGACCATACACTTGATACTGGAAACGCTCAGATTATATAGAGCGGCATATCATTGGAGTCGCCACTATAAGCCAAGCGCGGAAGGAGCACGTCGTGGTTGACGTGGCGTAAGTGGTAACGCTCCAGGCTTGTAGGCGAGAGGTCATGGGATCGGTCTCTCGTGGTGTTTGTTGTTTTGCCTTTTTGAAACATGACCAGAAAGGCTTTTAGCGACAGTATCTCCTCAATTGCTGCCTTTACCTGCCTGTGTAAGGAGTTAGGGAGCACCTCTGCGCAGGTTGAAAGCTATTTTTAATTAATATTTGCCATGACTGAAAACGACGCTCATAGCCCACTGATAAGGTGTTTTTGCGGTAAACGAGTATGATATTCGTGTTCAGGAGACCGAATTTCCCTGGTTACAAGTTTCCAGCTGAATCTGAGATTTTGACCTACACTCGAGAAAGGGCAGTCAACATACAGTCAAACGAGAGAAGGTATGAATCGAAAACTAACTGGAAAAGCACCTTCCCTGAATTTTGATGCAGAGTCATGTAAATCATTTCCGTTATGCGGGAATGTGAGCCGTTGAACGTTTCTCTTTTCAAAATCTTGGTTGGAAGAGCAATTTCCATGCAAAGAGTTCAACGATAGGTTGATGATATGATGGTTGACTCACCTCATTTTTTAGGGTTGGGTCAAAATCTCAGATTCGGAAGGAAACTTATCTCCAAGGTAGTTGATCCAGGGTCAAGCGAACCGTCGAGGAAAATTTGGAAATACGACCCCCCCCCTCCCCCAGAGGCCGAAGTCCATGAAACGACCCTTTTCAAAAACAGAGCTATGAAAAGGTTGTTTAATTCTCACCCAAAATGTTCAAAAGAGCCCTGCAACCCCACCGTCCACCAAAAAATTCTTATAGGAAGTAAAAAAGTGAAAAAGTCAAAGAATGATCATTAATGATGAGCCTACCAGACGAGCAAACGAGAAACAGACCAGAAAACGACAAACTAGCCACTAAAAATGGCATACTATGACAACATCTCTTCTCTATTTATTTCCTTCATAACACTTACCAAATTCTAGTACTACACAGATCATGGTTCTCAATTTAAACGTCCCCCTTTCAATTGATAAAAGCCTTGTAACCGCCTTCGCCAGCTGTGTGTTGACTGGACTTTGGCGTTGACCGTGGAGCAGCTTATTTACTATTGAAATTTGAACAAATATTCAAATGATTATAACTTTCTTCAAAGTTAACGAATTTTCAATCTGAAAGCAGATTTGGGAAGTTTTGCGAGAGTTCTTTCTAAACAATATTGAAATTACAAAAATTCATGAGAAATAACAAATTTAGATCAATTAACGAGGAAAAAATCGATGATGAGCATGAGTTTTTACACTTTCCGAAGCCATAACTTGCTTCATTTTCGTCAAATTTGAAAAGCTAATATGGCAGACAAAACTAGAAGATTTTCTCTATCAAACGCTTGCTAAAGCAACTTCATACGTTCCGTATCAAAAAATGGCCACGTTGAGGATTTTTGCAAAATTAACGAGGAAAATTGCGATGAGTGCGAGTTCTTACGCTTTCCGAAGCCATATAACTCCGTCCAAACTCATCCACTCTGGAAAGCTAATATACCATTCATAAACTAGAAGATTTGCTCTATTAAATGGCTTGTTAGAGCTGCTGAATACGTTCAGTATTAAAGAAATGGCCACGTTGAGGATTTCTGCCCGAGAACCGCCGAAAGGTACTTTTTTGGACATGCATTGGCCTACTTCAACGGCTATAGCTCCTTTCAGAGGCGATTACATACTAAAGTTAAGGGGCCAAGAGTCAATAGCTCTGCGTTCTCTTTTCAAGAAGTGTTAAAATAGTTCAGTGTATACTTCAATTTTAGGGTTACGTGTTAGAACTTAAACCGTTTGTTAAGTTGTGTTTCTTTTGAGATTTAGGTGGTGCTCCGTACTGGAATTTCACACGGATTTTTTTACTGTCAGGATTTGGCCTGAACGAGATCCGTATGTGAATGACAGTTAGAGACATACAGTTCAAAAGATCTATCTACTTGTTTTTCTCTGAATGAGACTCTTCTCAGGGAAGCGAGTTGAGTAGCGCCAAACCAATTAAGACACCACGGGAGCAGATGCGCCAGGTGCTTTCACATCCCGTTTAGATTCGGTGACCTCACGTGAAAGATAATAAAATATCTATGAGGAAAAAGTCCATTACGAATTATTTTAAATTGTTAACTTGTTATTTGATGACAAACCAGGTCATACCGTCAATGAGGAGATATAACTAGAATGCTAACGGCGACTTTTGAATCACGAATGTGCAGAAGACATTGTTGTATTGAAATCTCTGGCTGCATCGACTGATAGTTTTCCTCCAGATGGCTGAAATGATCCAGCACCGCGTCATCCGCCGATCTCTTTTCCAGCGGGCCAATTTACGAACCCACCCCCCCCCTGGAATTTTGAAGGATTTCCTCAACGCACGCTATTGACCTGTTTGATCTCCTGAACACGAATATCACGCCTGTTTGCCGCGAAAAAGCCTGACACTTGCATTACGGGCACCATGTTCATACATGGACGACTACTGCCCAAACCTGCAAGGAACTGCTCGAAATTTTTTCGTACAGGGAACTAACGGCAAAGTTGATAAATTAAGAAGTTAGAAGCTTTCTGGCTACATCTTCACGAAGCACAAAAGAAACAGACTCTCCGAGGAGCCGTTCCCACGACCTCTTGCTCGCGAGTTCGGGGCACTGCCACTGCGCTTCCTTGCTTTATAACTACGTTCAGAGAATCGTTTAGCAGATAAGGAAGGCAGTTCTGAGCTCAGCGCCTCGAGGCGACTTCAACGGTATACGACTCATTGCAAATGGCCGGACCGGCCTGATGACCTTCCTGGTAGACGAGAAAAAGCGACACTATTTATGAGACAACCTGGTACTTATGCTGGTAAGCTAATTGTTCATCCTATTTCCTCCAAGACGAGGCTTTTACAAATCTAATTACGTCAGAGAGATAGAAAGCCTCTTACTGATATGGGCGAAATTAATCTGCAGGTCTTGACTGTGCGATGGTAGTGAGGCGGCCATCACTACTACGCCACCCGCGACCTACGTAGGCAGACAAACATTGTTGTGTCTCTACTGAAAACGAATAATTAAAGTCTTTGCTAAAAGTCCAAATCACGTCTTTCAATCTAAAATTAAAGGAGCCATGTCGTCTTCTTCTTTCTTATCTTCAGCGTTGTCCCCTTATTGTTGTGCAGGACGGTCCGCTTTTCTGATATGCTGACGCCACTTTTCCCGATTAAATGCTTGGTCTTGGTCGGGGGTATATGTTAACCGACTTCAAGTCTGTGTGCAACGTATCGAGCCAGCGCTGTTTCGGGCGTCCCTTAGGCCGTTTTCCGGACACGTCAAGGCTGAAGCTGATCTTACGGACACTGTCATCTTTTGCACGAAGAACATGACCGTACCATCGAAGACGGGCTTCGCGCATCTTGTCGGCAATTGGAGCCACACCGAATCGTTCTCTGATGACTTCGTTTCGAATGTGGTCTAGTCGAGTGACTCCAGCTGTCCAACGCAGCATCTTCGTCTCCATCACACTGAGACGGGCTTCGACTTCTTTAGTCGCAGGCCAGCATTCGGCACCGTAAATCGCGACTGGCCGGATGACGGTTCTATAGATCTTAGATTTGAGCCGTTCTGGTATGTTCTTATCGCACAGAACGCCAGTCATTGCGCGCCATTTCGACCACGCTGCACTCACGCGAGAATTCGCTTCAGAAGCCAGACTGCCATCAGCCGCGATTGCTGATCCAAGATACTTGAATGTCGTTGTGCGTGTAAGCTCAGTACCATTGATATTGATAGAGCCTGTCTCACACGGATCGGTGGTCAAGTACTCGGTCTTTTTGACGTTCAACCTGAGCCCGAACATAGCCAGGCGGTCGGACCAGGTTTGCACTTGTTGCTCGAGAGTGTTTTTATCTTCGCTGGCGAGCATTACATCATCAGCATAAAGAAGCGTCCATGGAACCGGCTTCTGAATGTCTCTCGAAATGGCATCCATGACGACAACAAATAGGAGTGGGGACAGCGCAGAGCCTTGGTGTACCCCGACAGAGATGGGAAAATCCATCGAAGTGCCTGCTGCCGTTTGCACCCGGCTCTTTGGACTCAAATAGAGAATGCGCACCCACTCAATAAGCTCTTCGGGAACGCCATGTTGCCGTAAGGCATACCATATAACCTCACGCGGAACGCGATCGAAAGCCTTCTCCAAGTCGAGGAAAGGCCAAATGCACCGGTCTTTGTTTTTCGCGATGTTTCTCTAGCAAGAGGCGAGCGGCGTGGATGGCATCGATGGTGCTGCAGCCAGCCACGAAACCACACTGGTTGGTGGTCAGATCAACGATGTCCCGGATTCGACTGTCTACAATTCGCTCAAAGATTTTCATGCTGTGCGAGAGCAGGCGAATTGGACGGTAGCTTGTGCAGTCTCCAGGACTACCTTTCTTCTTCCAGATGGGAATCGTCGTGCTTTGTTGCCAGCTCTCAGGCACCTTCTTCTCTGCAATGATCTGGTTGAAGAACTTCGTCAACCATTCTGCAGGATTCCAGCACTTGGACTTCCACAAGTCGGCCGCTAGGTCATCGGGACCGGTTGCTTTGCCTGGCTTCATCTTCTTCAAAGCCATTATGGTCTCACTCACGGTTATCTTCTGAACGGGACCGTGTACTGGTGGAGCAAGAGGGATGGCAGGATGGGCAAATTCAACTGTTGAGATGCTTTCGAAGTAGTCGTGCCATCGCTTCAAAGTTTTCTTGCGATCCGTCAAAAGCTGGCCATCTTCGTCATTTATGCCAAAGAACTTTTCTATATCCTCGGTCTGGCGATGGCGGGAATTTGCGAGTCGGTAAACGTACCGCTCTCCGTCACGCGACTCGAGTTTTTCGTTGACATCAGCGAAATGAGCTGCTTTTACGGAAGCGACGGCCTTTTTTGCCTCTTTTCTTTGCTATCACATAGCTCCGCCAGTTATCAGCTGTCTTTTCCTTTAGAAAAGCGTGGTACCGCTTCTTCTTCTCACGCACTTTCTCTCTGACCTGGTCCGTCCACAGCCACGTTTGCTTATCAATTCTCCGACGTCCAGGCTTCGTAACGCCGAGCTCGGATCGAGCTATCCGAGTTATTTCTTCGGCTGCCACCTTTCCAAGTTTCGTCGACAGTCGTAACCGCCGGTAGTCGAAGGCGAGAAACTACAGTCGCTTCTTTTTCTTTCAGTCGCCACCACTTGATTCTCGCTGGCCCACACCTTTCAGCCAATTTCTGTTTTGGCGGAGCGATCTTCAGCGTGCAGATCAGTGGTCGGTGTTGTGTGACGACCGTTTCATAAGGAGGGGGGGGGGGGGGCGTGGGGGTACTACCTTAGCGTCTGTTACGAGCCCTTGATCGCGGTGCCTGACAAGGACGAAGTCAATTTGTGATCTGGTTTTACCGCTATAAAAGGTGATAAGATGGGATTCACGTTTCCGGAATTTTGTGTTTACAATGGCGAGGTTATGCGATTCCGCATATTCAAGAATTCGCTCGCCATCAGTATTACGTGTCCCATATCCAAAACCACCATGACAGTTATAACCGTCTTTCGTAGCGCCCAAGTGACCATTGAGGTCACCTGCAACAATTATGGCTTCTTGTGACGGTACCTCAGCTGTCTTCTCATCAAGCAGGTTCCAGAACTTGTCTAAGAGCACATTCCAATCCATCAAAAAAAAACTTCACAAGAGCCTTCCATATCGAAAACTTCAGAAGTATTTTTCACGGGAAGTTAACGCACGGTTAGAGCTCAGCAAGGCTCTCGACCGATAGTGGGCCATTAAGGCAATAACTGCAAAACTAGTCGGAAGTGGTCTTCTAGTCAGAGCTGTAGGCTGGAGATCTATCCACCAGTATTGTGATGGAAGAAAGTATGCAGCAGCTACAGACTGGATTACCATAGGCTTCCTTAAGCTCGACGGCGATGGTATTGGGTTGGAGCATAATATCGTAGCGTTTTTCTTCGATCGATCGTATAAATTAAATCAGTACAGTATCACCCGAAAAACCGCTCATACCATTTGAAAGTACTCTTCCCGCTCTACAAAACCGTAGTTGTCATTTTCTTCAACATTGCAGTTGTACTGAGGTATAGAGCTTAGAAGTTGGAAAATCCAGACGGCGAAAATCGGCGTTTCGACAGCTGCTATTCCCTCCGTTTGGATAAAGGCCAAATTGGAAGTTCTTCTGAATAAATTCTTCTGATCGAACCTTGCTCTAACCAACCTACCTTTTTCGCTCAAATTGAAACCATATTCATTTCGTACAAATTGAGAATAATAAGGACTCCGAAAACGAGCTCAATATTTTTTTAAATTCTATATCCGGTGATCTCTGCGAAATGCAATCAAAGTTGTAAATAATGACGAAGTGAACATCACTGATTAGTTTTATGTTTTTATTTTTGCTTCAAATGTTTGTGTGAAAAAATGAAAAATGCAAGCGCTACGATATTATGCTCCAACCCAAAAGATGACGTCAGACCCCTAAGACGGCGAGGGTAGTGAAGGAGGGCCTGCTCTTGCTCACGGAGGAGCACAGGAATATTTTTTTTATAAATTTCATCGGCGGCTGCACTCTGTGCGACGAAAAATTTGCTAATGTTAGCTATGAAGAAAAAACTCTTTTTTCGTCCACCCCCCCCCCCTTTGCATATTTATCCACGGAGCGGATTCAACATGAACCAGCTGCACGTTTTGATGCATTTGTTGGCATGATATAATTTCGACAGCAATTAAAGTATGGGATCGGATAGGCCGAATCGAAAAACAGACAGACACGCCTTACCCCTTCAAAGGTAGACGGTAATTGTGATTGGGTCAGGAGAAAAGAGGGGTTAAGGAGTTTCAAAAATTAGTAGTGCGCGTTGGTGAATTCACGTAGTAAGTTGGTACCACTGCCATTACACCGTGAATGTGCAGTGATGCTCGTGCAATTTTGTTTTCAGATCAAATGCATATTCAAGCTTTTTTTGTCAGTTTTAACGATGTTGAACAAGTCATTTACGTCGATGATCCACCAATTTCTTGAGTTTCAGAGGATTTATTAGATGTGCTTACCCGATCCTTTCCAGTAGGGAGATCTCTCGGTGACAGATCTTTTCTTCACTTTGAATGGCGAACATAGTAAACTAAACAATTCAGTACTGAAAATTACAAATATAGTACTGCAGAAAAATAGACACTCGAGAACATCTTTTCAATAAATTTAGGGATCCAACGTTTTTCTTTTTAGATGAATTCGACTCTAAAATGTTTATGAGATCATAAATTTTTCAAGTAACAACCACCTTTCCAGATGCTTCCATTTCCTTGACAGCGTCAGGCCTTCGAGTGTTGCTCTTCACAAACATGTACATTGCTCCTCTGAAAGTGATTTTACCAAAGCGCCTAATAAATCGTAGTGGTTGCTAAAATATTGAACTCAATTGACCATGTGCCAAATAACTCTGCCTTTCCTACATAGTATCCCTGCGGTATCGCCAAAATGCAGGGCGTCAACTGAAAGGCGCCAAAAAAGTGAATGTATGTAGGACAATGATAAATTGTGCCATTACCAGACCCATAGCGCTTGGAACGAAGATCGCAAATTTCGTGTACTTTTCCTGTCCGACGTCTGTCAGCCAACAGTTAGGTAATAGACCCTTCTAGTACATATGAACGCCGACTTGAACGCTGGTTGAACCACTCTTTATAAGGATAAAGGATAAAGCATTTGCCGTTGATCAATCCCTTTTTGGGATGCGGCACGCATTCTACTTCCATTTGTACATTCGTAGTGGCGTTTGAATGCGATGTGGCCTATACAATGACTTGCGGGGCCAGCCGATGTACAAGTCAGTGTTTTTATCCTCCCAGACAAGTCTGGTACCAATTAACCGACCCCGGAGGGATGGAAGGCTTGGTTGGCCCGGGCGACTCACGACCCAGGATTTGATCCCCGGACCGCTCGCGTGGTAAGCGTGCCACTTGCCACTACACCACTTCCGCCCCGGTCGGTGATGCAGTATTAATGTTTCAAGATCTTTTGTAAAACCGACAATGCAAAAATGATTTACATTGTCTGAAGGCCGTCGTTACTTGTGGTCTGCACCCGACGCTCTTCTCGTTTTTTGAAAGGAAGGGTACATGCAGTGACAGGTCTCTGATGAAGGCACAGAGGGTTGTACACATTTGTTCGCACCCCATTTTCACCCTATCAAGGCCTTTTGTGATGCTAATGAACCACGCGAACTATTTCATCAGTGCCGAAGATCAGTCAATATGAGAAGCGTGATTTTGCCATAGCTATCATATATAATCATCGTATTGCTACCAACTTGTCCTCTAACATTTTGATCTCGCAGCTGCCAAATCGATCCACATTTTTTCCTAGAAAGTTTTTTGGCAAAAGAAAGGCTAGCAAAATTTTCAGCTATTGAACAAAATGAGTGGTACCTGTAATAGTCGGTGCAGACGTGGTATATTGGCCCTCGCACCACTCCAAATAAAATATCCACACAAGGAAAAAACTTGAGCATGTTGTGCAGTCAAAACGTTCCTTGACGAAATAACATCCGCAAA